CTGTCGAACTTCAGCCTTCTTAGGTATTGAAGTTTTAACTGATCTTTTTGATAATGTCCTGATATTATTTTTTTGTATCTTTTACTTTTTTTGAACAGATGGCTCCTAAAACACCTAAAGATCCTAATGCAGCTAAAGTAGGCAAAGCACCTAAAACACCTAAACAACCTATAATACCCCCAGGTCCTTATGTCCCTGCTCCTCCACCTACAAGACCAGGGCAAAGATATTTTGAGTTTGGAGATTGGTGTAACTCTAAGGGTTACTGGAAGGGGAACCATGATTTGAAGAAATTAATTGCAACTTTCTTGACTCCTACACAACGGGATAAGCTTAATAATGGTACATTTCGATACATTATGGCTATGGAGAATTTCAAATGCAGCATGAAGTTGGTTCATTATCTGTGTCTTTCTCGAATATTCACGAATGATCGAAACTTCATTAGTTTCAAAATTTTTGGCCATGATGTTTCCTTCACCCTTGAAGACTTTCACATTTTGTGTGGTTTGCGGATCACAACACATAATATTGAAAAACCAATTAATCGAGAGAGCAATATTCTGAAGCGCTATTTTGGTAAGTCCAAAGGTGTGACTTTGAAGGATATTCTAAATTTTATGACTCGCAAAGAAATTCCAAATAATGGTGTGAATCACGTACACGTATGCGAGAGTGATGATGATAATGTTGTTAAGCTTATGGAAGTTCTTGTTGTAGAGTCTATTTTGTTTGGAAAAAATACCGAGTCATCTGTGATGGAGGAGTATGCATCTATTATTGAAGATGATAAGGTTTGTGATGAATATCCTTGGGGTAATTTGACTTATGAGAAGCTCATTTATTCACTGAAACATGCATTGGACAAGCAGAACAAATTACATACAACTGAGTATAAACTTGGTGGATTTCCATATCCGTTATGTGCTTGGTTCTATGAGCGCTTCCCGGATGTTCGGGAGAAGTATATAAGAGAGGATGAGTACCTTGATACCCCTCAGGTCCCCAGGATGTTACGTTATATATGTGTGGGAGAGCCTAAATTTCCCGAACTTTATCATATGTTCAGTACTCATGAAGTAAGTTACTTTTTTTTGTCTTTGTGTTAATATGTTGATGTATTAATTTTTTTCTCCTAATATACTTTTATGTATTAAATAGAGATATCGCGACTTTAGGGTATTGGATATAATTCCTACAGAAGAGGAATTGAATTCAATGCCTTTAATTGGACAATTACTGTCATGACCCAGATTTTCCACCCTCGGGAGTCGTGATGGCGCCTACTAATGGGAGCTAGGCAAGCCAAACCTTAACTACCTACTACACTTTCATATTGTTTCATTTTAACAAACACGAGGCGATAATATGATAACAACGGAATTTTAAGTAAATAAGCGGAAGTCAACAGTTATAAAACTTAAAACTACGTCTATTACAACTTTTAAACTTTAATTACCCCAAAATCTGGTGTCACAGTATCACAGACTGTCTAAGAGTTACTATATACAAGGTCTGAAGAAAAAAAAACAGCACACCGTTTCTGAAGTATGAAAAATGAAACAGGAAATAGAGATAGAGGGAGACGCCATGGCCTACGGACGCATGCATGTCTACCTTGGGTCTCCGAGTGGACTGAAGGAAGCCCTCCAACTACTGTCTGAAAGCTGCTCTAGGATCTGCACACAGTGCAGAGTGTAATATCAGCACAACCAACCCCATGTGCTGGTAAGTGTCTGGCCTAACCCCGGCGAAGTAGTGACGAGGCTAGGACCAGACTCCAGATAAACCTATGCATTTATATAACATATGGCGGAAAAGTAACATGTAATAAGCAATTAAAGCTGGGGAAGGGGAACATTCTTCGGGGGTAGCTGACAAAACAAAATAACAAGAAATAGCAAGGAAGCTAACAATATAACTTCTAACACAGATAAAGAAAAGTAAAGACAACTTTCACTTTTAGTTTCCATCTTGTTGCAGGCGTGCAACCCGATCCCATTTCTAATATCTTGTGGTAGGCTTACCACCCGTTCCTATTTCATCATATTTTGTGGTAGGCGTACCACCCGCTCCCATTTCATAATATCTTGTGGTAGGCGTACCACCCGCTCCCATTTCATTATATCTTATGGTAGACGTACCACCCGCTCCCATTTCATAATATCTTATGGTAGGCGTACCACCCGCTCCCATTTCATTATCTTGTGGTAGGTGTACCACCCGCTCCAATTTCATTATCTTGTGGTAGGCGTACCACTCACTCCCATTTCACAGTTCATCACACAATCACAAGAAATCCCGGCAAGGAAACATAAGTAATATAATAACTTCCCGGCAAAAGAGAATCAGCTATAACCAATCTCACTTAGCTGGTACTAGTTCAATTAATGGAAATGCTCAATCATAGAAGATCATTAATTAAAGCATGCAAGGTGTCATTCAAGAACACAACAACTTTCAATTTAAGACCTGTAGACATGTGATTTTTGACCCTCCCCAAGATTTTTTCATATTTTAGCATAAATATTTAGTTTAGGTATAGTATCGCTCTCTTTACCTCATTTTATTTAAAAAAAAACTACAAAAATATTTTCCCTTATCCTAGCTAGTTGATATTTTGAAAAAAAAAATATAAAATAGTCTGGGCATGTTATTTTCAAAAAAAAAAAATAAGAAGAAAAATTGTGCAACTTGCAAAAAGATGCTTTCTTATCCAGTCCCCATAACAAACTCACATGCACCCCTTTTAATTCTCATTCACGTTTTTTGGCACATGGGGGAAGGGGAATGAGGACAAAAATTAGAGCTGGGGGAATCTTTCCTGTCTAAGTTTTTTCTGTTATATATAACATATACACACACAGAAGAAAGAGAGGAAAAATGCCAAAAATCTGAGGGGAACAAAACAGAAAAAGAAAGGGCTCAGATCTGGAAAAAAAAACCTAAAAAGAAAGAGGGTGAGTGTCTTCTTCTTCTTTGGATAAAAACAGTCGTAGCTCCTCTAGCTCTCTCCCTAGGATAGCCATATTTCACCATGTAAGCTCATTTTTTCTCCGCCAAAAGACTCACATCCTTTACCAATGGAAGTAGCTCACAAAAATTTCATGAAAATGCTTTCATGGATGCCATAGCTTGTCCTTTTAAGCTCCATAAAAATGCAATAGTCTAGATCCAAAAACTCACCTTAAAAAAAGTAGTCTTTCTTCCTCAATAAATAGCTGAAAAATACAACAAGAACAGCCATGAAAGCTGGCCACTAAAGCTCCCCGAAACAGTCCAAAAACGCAGTGAAACAACACCTCAAAAACAGCCCCAAAATTTTCCAAGTATGAGCAGCAGTTCGGTCTTCTGCTCAACCGAGATTCGAGTTTTTCAGCAGGTTCAAGGTCGTTCGAGGTTCTCGCTCACAACCCCGTTTCATCGGCCCTTTTTGTTGTTTTGATTCGATTTTCTTCTCGGCAGCCGCTATTAAGGTTTTTTTTCCCCATTGTATTTTTTTAGTTCTATTCTTAAATATATAAATATATGGCTTTGATTTTTGTAACATGTGGGAAGAGGATTGAGTTTCTTTTATTATGCTATATATATGAGCTTGATTAATTAGTTCTTCTTATGATAAGCCTTCGAAAGTGTCATAAGTTTTGTTAAATTGAAATCATAATTTCTTTTTGCCGCAAGAATATGAGCGAAATTTACTTGTAAATAGGTACTGATTTTTGAGTTTTTTTAATTTTATTATTATTTTATTTTCATTCAATTTTTCTTCCTTCCTTTTTTCCTGTTCGTAATTTTTGCATAAATTATTTCTTAAAAAAATTATTTTCTGTTTGTTAACACTTTTAAGGGGATCATGATGAATCTGTGATGAACTTTTGGATTTTAAGATAAAGGTTTGGGGTTTGGTATCATAAAATGCATTTGCACCATTCGGTTATTTGGAATAGAGTAAAGTATTAAACCAGACTTTTTTTTAAGCAAATTATGGGCCCAAAAGAATTCTTCCTGAACCAAGAATAATAAAATTGAAAGTGGCCCATACGTCAATAAGGTCACAAGGTGGCCAACATTCCCACAACTAATTTACTTTATTCCTTCCACAATAATTTCCATAAATTATGCCTCACAACAATCTCAAATATTAGGAAAATAATTGAAAAAGGCGTAGTTGCTTTAGGCGCGTAACTTAAATTACTTTCCTAAATTTGGGTGTGCATTTATGTGACCCAAATTCAAATCTCAACAACGTTAGATAAAATGTGTCGTGGACCGCGAGTGTATTTATGTGACATGGTTCAAGGCGTGTTTTAGATGACGTTAAATCTTTCCTAAAAATAATTAAATAAAAGCGGTTATAAAGTTAAAATTGAACCATAGGTTAAAACATGTTTTAAAATCAGATAAATAGGCTAATAATAACAATTGAGCGACCGTGCTAGAACCACGGAACTCGGGAATGCCTAACACCTTCTCCCGGGTTAACAGAATTCCTTACCCGGATTTCTATGTTCGCAGACTGTAAAACAGAGTCAATCTTTCCTCGATTTGGTATTTAAACCGGTGACTTGGGACACCATAAATTATCTCAAGTGGCGACTCTAATTCTTAAATAAATAATCTCATTTCGATTGTCACTTTGATTGGAAAAAACTCCCTTATATCCTTCCGAGAGTGGTAAAAAGGAGGTGTGACAGCTTGAAGAACAAAGGGAAAGCATCTCAGAATGCAATTCAAGTCAGCAACAAAGGAATCTCACTCAGAAAGTACAAGTCAGCAGGGCAGCAGAAACTGCAAGTTCAAGTTTGAAGATATAGATATGATTCTTGTAATTCGTATATCATAGTTTAGTCTGGCTTCTTTTATTTTGTCACGGTATAATAAGGAGTTCAGTAAGCAGAAACAACAACAATAACAGCAAAATCATAGCTCTTCGGTAGTACCAGCTATCAAAACTTCTTGAACTACACGCGACCTGATTCCCCTATAACCCGGGATATGTAGGCTGTCCAAAACCAAGACTCGGTTGCACCCTTTCTCTTTTCTCTTATCCTTATTTCTTCCCTTTTGAATAAAAATATGTTAAACAATTAGTCACATGGCTCACCTTATCTTTGCTTGAAAACTCTTCATATTTCCAAATAAAGAGGGGTAGTTGTGAGCACCTAATTTTTGACAATATTTAATTTTTTATCACTTCTTCTATGTAAATATTTTAGGGGTTTTAACCTACAATTTTTAGCTTTGTTACACTTTTTATTATAGGGTAAAAATACAAAATTATAAAAGGTGAATTATTACTATTAATATTTTATTATTATTTTTTTTTTAAATAATAAGAAAATTCTGAAAAATATTAATTTTTTTTTAATTTTCAGGAGTGATTTAAAAAATAAGAAAAAGGGAAGTATTGAATAGAAAAAAATAAAAGTAAAATTAGGTTTGGAATTCTCTTTTAAAAAGTAAAAGAAAGTAGAAAATTAAAAAAATAAAAGTAAAGTTTTGTGGAAATTTTAAAAAAATAAAAGTAAAAGAAAAAGAAAGTTGGAATTAAAAAATAAATATAAAGGTATCTGAAAATTAAAAAAAAAATTAAAGTAAAAGAAAGTAGAATTTTTAAAAGAAAAGCAAAAGAAAGTGGATTGTTTTTTTAAGAAAAGTTAAATAAGTGGAATTCTCTTTTAAAAAATAAAAAAAGTGGGATTTTTAATAAGATAAAAGTAATTAAAGTTGGAATTTAAAAAATAAAAGTAAAGAAAGGTGGGATTTGTTTTTATAAAAAAATAAAAGCAATTTGTAAGTGAGATTTCTTTTAATTAAAAAATAATAAAACAATAAAATATTTTTAAAAAAATCTGAAAAATTTCGAAAATTTTGCTATAAATAGAAGAGAAAATTTGAGAAGAAAAAAAAGAAGAGAGGGGGAGGAGATAAATTTAGGTTGAAAGTTTTCATTCAATTTTTCTTTCAACATTTCGGGCCTTGAATCTTGGGTTTGAAGAAGAGTTGATAGAGATTTTGTTGTTG